GGCAAAATGAAATGAAACCAAACAACCTCCCAATTTTAAGAGTCAATGAAAGGACAAGAACCAGTCTAACTTGGCAAAAATGTTAGAATTATGAGGCCAAGAACTTTAAAAGCTATCATTATTACGCTAAGGGCTCACAAAGTCATAGAAGTGTGACTGCCTAAATACTTTGGACCTCACATCACATTACTATGTGTCCTCAGTGCCAGAAATGGAACTATATGATTTCATGTTTACACTGCTGGGTGTTAATCTTACTTTGGCTTAATCTCTACTTAATTTTTTTCCTATTCTGGCTTTTTTGGAATGAGAAATTATACCCTGGGCCAACATATCTTGGTGTTTTGCAGCTTGATTTCTAAAAATTTTTATATGGGGTTATAGCTTAATTTCCTTGAGTTTTAGGTAAAACTTCAGACTTGTCCTCTTTGCAGTGTTGGAGCTGTTAAGACTTACAGACACTTGGAAATGGATTAAACATGTTTTGCATTGTGAAATGGATGTGAACTTTTACCAGCTGGGAGCACAGTGCCATAGCTTAGATCTGAAATGCCCCAAAGGTCCATGTGATAAAGGTTGGTCCTCGGTTTGTGGAGCAAACAGTCCTCCCAGAGATGGAGAACTAATGAAATCTCTTAGGTCACTCAGGTGTGCCTTGAAGAGAACTGAGGGATGTGTGCCAGTCTCTTTCTCTTCCTCTCTCTGTTTCCTGACTGCTATGAAAACAACAGCTTTCCCTGCTGCATGTTACCCTCCATGATATGCTACCTTACAAATAGTTATGGACTGGAAACTGTGCAACTGTGAGCTAAAATAAAAATTTCCTTTCTTATTTTGAATATCTCAGATATTTTGTTACACAATAGGATTCTGAGTAACGCAGAGATTTAATGGAAAAATGTAGAAAACAATCAGAAATACAATGTAGGCTAAACAAAGCGATGGAAATTCTGAAAAAAGAATCAAAAGAAAGTGCGAAATAAAAAAAAATACTGTAACAAAAGCAAAGAATGCCTTTGTTGGGTTAGTTAGGAGACTTCTAATGGCTGAGAAAAAATTTGAAGATTTCTCAAAAGATGTTACATACACATAGTAAGAACATTAGAAGGAAGGAGCAAATACAAGCAATATTTGAAGCAATAATAACAGAATATCTCCAAATTATACAGATCCAGAAATTTCTAAACACAAACATCGAGTGGGATAAATGTATACATAAGTTTAAAGCTTATACATAGGCATATCATATTCACACTTCAGGAAATTAAATGAAAAATGTTTAAAGAGAAAAGAAAACATACCATCCTTACAGCGGATCAAACGAAAGAATCATATGTAACTTTTCCTCAGCAATCATGTAAAGAAGAAGAGGGAGAATCATCAATCTAAATTTCTACTCTGTTAAATTTCCCTTTAGAAAAAGAAATTTCTTAAATAAACAGGATTTTCTTAAATGAACAAAATTTGAGACACATTTTACCAGAAGAAACACACCCCCCCACACACACACACTAGCTTATGTGAATGCCAGATGAATGACAATATCTGTGCAGGGGCGAGGAAAGGACAATTAAGATGATCTCATTATTATATTTTTAAATGAATTGAGGTTAATTGTACACTGAAAACTATAGGGCAACAGCTAAAAATGTAAAACAAATCAGAATTGACATCTAAGAAGGATAATGAAATAGAATCCTATGAAATGCTCAATATAAACAAAACCACAAACAAAAGAAGACAAAAACAGAACAAAGAGGAAAGGCAACAAAGAGAAAACAGTAACAAATGTGGTAGATAATTAACTAATCAGTATGAATAGTCACTTAATGTCAGTGCTTTAAGAATATCAAGTAAAATGAAGCAGAAGGGATTATAAAATAAGACTCTGCATGCTTACAAAGATTCATTTTAAATGTAGACACTTGTAGATTAAAAATAAAGGGATAGAGAAGATATACTGTGCTAAAATCCATCAAAGAAAGCAGATGTAGAAGTATTAAATTTAAATATAGACCAAATTATATAGAAAAACTCACATTGGCTCTTACTGTTTTATCTAAGTATAAGTCCTGCCCTGAGCAAAAACACACTTATTACTAATGAACGTGCCTTTAGGGCTAAAGATGTACCTCAGAGGTAACAGTACAGGCCTAGCATGTATGAGGCTCTGGTTCACCTTAGTACAGAGAGAGAGGGCAGAGAGAGAGAGAGAGAGAGGGAGAGAGAGACAGAGAGAGAAGGAAGGAGAGAGAGGGAGTGAGGGAGGGAGGGAGAGAGAGAGGTGGGCAAAATAACGGAGAGAGAAGAAAAGAAAGAAGAAGGGAAAGGACAAAGGAAGGAGATTGAACACCTTATTTTCACATTCGGAATAATAACAATGAATATTAACCCGGAAATAATCCAGTAAATAAGGAGAAGCACTTTTAGTTGAAGAGAAAGAAGAAAGTTTTTAGGAAAGAAATATAACAAAAATGAACCAAAATATCTTTAAAAAGAAGGGGAGAACTATAAAGGAAAAAAGAAGCAAGCAGAAAATTAATAATAAATTAGATACAAATGATACAAATAATAAATTAGATACAATAATTGATTTAACTGGTATCCAAACACCAATACAAAACTAAGCATTGTAGAATTGGATAAAAATAAAAGCCAGACAATCAAATGTTATCAGAAACCTACACAAACCATAATCATCAAGATAAGTTAAAAAGATGCAAGAACAAAAAGATAAATGGTATAACAAAGAATCAACAACTGGAATGGGAATCTCACCTTATTAAAAAGCTTCTGCAATGCAAAAGAAAGCACCGACAGAGCTAAGAGACATTCTACAATGTGGAAGAAAAATTTTTACCAGCTGCTCCTCAAAGGACTAATATCTAGAATATATAAAGATCTCAAAAAAAATCAGGCCCCCAAAAAACAAAGACCTGATTCAAAAATGGATGTCTGAAATGAACAGACATTTATCAGACAAAGAAGTAAAAACAGCAAATAAATATATGAAAAAATGTTCCACATCACTGATCATTCAAGACATGCAGATGAAAACAACCCTCAGATTCCACCTCACCCACAAAGAATGGCTGCTATTAAGAAATCAAACAAGGACAAATGCTGGCGGGGCTGTGGGGAGAAAGGAACCCTTCTCCGTTGTTGGTGGGAGTGAAGATGTGTACAATCACTGTGGAAATCAGTATGGAAGACTAGGATTAGAACTAGGATTAGAGAACTAGGATGGATTAGAGGTTCCAATTGACCCAGCCATCCCTCTGCTGGGTATCTTTCCAAATGAATTAAAAGAATCATACCATAATGATATATGCTCACCCATGTTTATAGAGGCACATTTCATAATAGTTAAAACTTGGAAATAACCCATATGCCCATCAACTGGAGACTTAATAAAGAAGATGCGTTTTTTTCTATAAAATGTAAAACTACTCAGTTATAAAGAATGAGAAAGTGAAACATTTATAGCTAAATAAATACACATTGAGGCTATACTCAAGAGAAATAAATAGGACACAGGAGTAAATACTGAATAGTTTCTCTGGTGTGAAAAACTAAAAGTGCAGATAACGTTCAAATGATATAATTGGGAGTATGAAATAGGAAGAAAATGGCTAAAGGGAAATTGGGAAGGGGAGGGGAAAGGAAATAAGGAAAAAGAAAAAATGTGAAAAAATGAAAAAAAAAGGAAAAAGTCTTTTTAAGTAGGGAAAGTTTAAGGGTTGAAAAAATGAAAAAAAGGAAACAAAGTCTTTATAAATGGGAAGGGTTAAGAGGGTGCAGGGTTATGGGGCAAAAACAAGAACCAAGGTATATCATGTAAAGGTACAAGATCCCAGCGATAAATGTAACTGTATTGTTTGCTTTAATTGTACCAATAAACTTAATGGAAAATAATACACAACCATCCTGGAAAACAGTATGGTGGTTTCTTATAAACCTAAACATATCTCTATTATGCAACCTAACAGATACACAGTAAGTATTTAACATAAGGGAAACAAGTTTTATACAAAATGTTGTACTTGAATGTATACAATGCTATTATTTATAATTTCTCAGAGTTAGAAACAACTCACACTCCTCAAATGAGTGAATGGATACACAACCTCATTTAGAAAATCACAAGATGGAATACAACACAACAATATAAAAGGACAAACTATTGATGCACAAAACACTTTGAATGTATCTCAGACTTTTTTAAATGAAATAACATTGTCAAAAGATTGCAATAGTGTATTATTTCACTTATATGCCATTCTAGGTAAAGCAAAAACATGGGAACAGAGAAAAAACAGAGTGGCCAGCAGTTACAAGGCTCAGAATAAAGAGATGACATGAGAAAATTCTTTGGCAGTGTTGAAACGGTTATTCATCCTATCTGTTGTGATGGTTAAAAATAACTGTGTGTGTGTGTGTGTGTGTGTGTGTGTATCCTTAACTTTGTATAGTAAAGTAGAATTTGCCGTATGTAAATTTTAAAATTAAAAACATTTTTAAAAATAGCTTTGGGGTCTTTATGTAACTTAGTAAGAAATTTCTCAGGATTTGAAATACAATAAAATGTTTAAATTTCAAATCACATAAAGTCTATATGTAAACCTAATTATTAATCAGGAGTAAATCAACACCTGAAGTCAACTGGTAAGCAGTAAGAATTAAATGTATATAGGCTCCCCTATTTAAAAAAATAAAAGAATGAGTTGGGAAAATAGTTCAGTTTGAAGACCATGGACTCAAACACAGTAGCACAAAAAAACAAGAACAAATACAGGAAGTGTTTAGGATAGAGGGTAGAGGAGAATATTAAAATCTACCTAGAAGAGAGTGAGAGTAGAGAGATATAGGATGAATGCCACCTCTGCTATATATGAAGGGCTTAGTAACTGTCCAGGTTGGATACTTTAATTTCAGCATTTCTTTAGCTCAGCATTGTTTCTTGGCACTTCTTGAACTAGTGTATCAATATCCATCAATACCTCTTCAATGGCACCTGCAGAAATCCTGTGACCTGCAACATTTATGACATCATCAACTCGAGACATAACATACACATAGCCTTCTTCATCCATGTAACCCGCATCCATGGTGTCATAGTAACCCTGAAAATAAGAATAAGTAATGTTTTATTAACATGCATTGTTGGATAATGCAATTTTAAAGTTCGTATAATGTAAAATGTGATAGGAATAGATTTTGTGTATTTTGTTTTATTTTTTTAACTACACTCTGAAATTAAATTAATTTTGGTTTTGAAATCTTCCTAGAATCTCTTTGCTCCTCTAAGAGCCAGGAATTAGATAAAGCATTCTTACACATGTTCAAGTTAAGTGTTTGAACATAAGAGTTGTAAAGTTTATGAACTCAATTACTTTTTTAATGGAGAAGTAATAGCTCAGTATTTCCAATACACTTTTGTATTACAAATTAATTCTTTGATAAAGTTATTCTCTAATTGCATTAAGTTTTAAAAGCTGTAAAAGTCTCTAGGAATAATTGCACAATAAATCACCTGTTTATTAACATGGACTAAGAATGGACTCAATTTTCAGTGAAACTTGATAGTAAGAAGGAAATTTAATTGTTAATCAAGTTAAAGTAGCACATCTTTGCTGACCCAGCAATCACAATAGAATGAAGAATCGAGAAGAATAAGAAGTAGAAAAACATATTACTTTCTCTAATGCTTCTGACTCATTTTGAAACCTACGTTCATGGTTGATTTTAGCACAAACACTGGCTAGACAGTGTGTGTTTCTTAACCTTTCTGAGGCTCAGTATGCTTGAATGTTAAATGGACTAATAAGCTACTCTGTCTATTAAGAATATTTTGAAGCCGGTATGAAACGGTGTACAGATTCTGGCTTGAGCAGTTATAGCAATTTCTATGGTTATTATTAGAGAGGTAAACTAGAGTGATGAATTCTGGATCTGGCTATTTTGGTTCAAATCTCAACTCCACCTCGTCACCTATCTGACCTACCCTCTTTCTATGTTGTTATTAAGCCCTCAGATGAGAGGTTTGAAATTGGGTAACAAAGGAAAGAATTGCTTCATGTAGTTTAACCAGACATTGAGACTTGGAGGGGATTTGTTGGAGCTTTGAATGTTAAGGGCAACCATGTTAAAATCAGATGCACATCTTATTTGCCATTATCAGTTTATAATTAATCATTAATACCTTGATGACTTAACTGTGGCCCCTTAGGTAGATAGATTGGACTGGCTGGCGTCTTCCAGAGTGACAAATTTTCCCTGTCACACTCTATCAGGGGAATGTTTAAACTTGGTTATTGAGGACTTTCAACTCTGAGATGTCTTTCTAAAGAAAGCTGTTTTAATTCTTGTCATTTGTCTAGTTGATTAGGTTATCTGTCTTCCACTCACAAATAATAAAGACAGAATACTAAAAACCTGGAATAGCTTTTTAATTAAATTCCAATCATCCAGTCCTCTTTACCTACTGCAAAATGGGGTCAAAATATCACTCTCAGAAAAAAAGTGAAAAGACAGCAGAGAGAAGATGGGCGACCTTGACAGGTATTATCTTTGGAAGTGCTGTTAGGAGCACAAGCTGCCTCGCCTTGACATAAAGCGCTAATGGAGACAGTCTGGGTTACCCAGGACACTGACGGCAGGATGGGCTTTGAGAAAACTACCTTTTACTTGTTTCATGATTCTTAAGTGAAATTTTAAAATAAAGAGCTCAGGAAACATTTAGAAAGAGATGTCAAAACAGATTTTAAAAAGTATGGAAAAATACAACTCCATGTAAGTCAAATGAATTTTATTCAAATAACCAGCTGTAGAGGTGATTAAGTTACCTCAGTGGCATTGTATAATTCTGAGTAGTTTCTGTCAGTGACATTCTGTACAAAGAAATCCAGTGGGTGAAATAATACAATTTAAAAAATGGATTTTGCAAAATCTGTCTCAAAAATTCTGATATTGCGAGCTTAGGAAAAGGTGAGAAATATATATATATGTTTTCTTTTCTTTTCTTTTTATTGAGTTTATTGGTACCTTCTAGGTATACAGTGCAGTCACATTCATTACTGGGATCCTGTACCTTCACATGACAGGTCTTGGTTCTCATTTTTTCCCATTATCCCTGCCCTCCCTTCACTCCCTCCTTCCCTCCCCATTTAGAAACTTTTTATCTTCATTTTATCTTTTTCTCATATGTTTTTCTTTTCCCTTATTCCCTTTCCCCTACCCTTCCCACTTCCCCTCCACCTTTAGCCTTTTGTTAATTATCTCATTAGGATCTTGTGTACTATTATAATATATATAATTTGGTGTTCTTATCCACGAAAGACGGAGCCTGGCACAGGTAACCTTTACTGGGGTTTTTTTGATCCATAATTCTAGAAACAAATTGCTCAATTTAATAAGTTAAAGCTATAGAGAAGTACATTAGAAAATTTAAAAAGTATTTGAAAGTTCTTACAGGAAATTTTTCAAAATATAAATGCTTGAATGCTTCTTGATTCTTCCAGAGTCCTGAAAAAGCTCCTGGTGGTAATGGCAACCTTATGTAAAAACATAGCAATTAAAATGATGACAAAGTGATAGTAAAGACAAATTGAACTATTAATTTTCCAATGTTGTAGATAATTACAATTCAAGCCTGACATTGAAATGTGGGCCTAAATCTGCTGGACAGATTATGTGTAATTGAGGCCTGAGTACTTGACCGTGTCACAGCACTATTAATGAAGAATGCCTGGAGATTCTGGAAAGTAAGAAAAGGCACACACATTTGGCATTCAAACACTCATTAGCAATAATCACTATTTCAATAAGAAGCTTAACATCGGCAAAAAATGAGCTAAAATGCACAACGACATTATTTTCCAAGAGAAACAGTTCCACCATAAGCAAATACATTTATATTTTTAAGGAGTCAGGATAATGAACTGTCTGTTACCTGTGCTTGTTCGTGCAATGGAATGTTCTCATTACCCATCCAGTGTACAATTTTATCTCAATTTGCTTCCCTCCCTGTAAAATCCCTCTTTCTGTTCATTTTTCCATTCCTTTCTGACTACCCAGCAATATGTATTTTCCCAATCACTCCTATGAACAAATGCAAATCTTGACCATATATATAGAACATAAGGTACCACAAATCTCTTCTTTCTCAATAATTTTCACATGTACTTCTTTTATTTATAATATCAGATAGATGTTACACATATCATAAGGGCTATATCCCTACCTACAACTTATCTGATCTATCTGTCTGTGTTTATATGATAAATGAAGGAATTCTTATCTAGTTTCCCTATGGGAAGTACCTACTGAAAAAGACAATCATTCTTCTTGTTTTCTTGTCACAAAATGTTCATATTTTATACTTTGAAATTTTAGATTCTATAAAACTTGAGAACTTCCAAAAATTTTCCCATACTTATGAAATAAGAAATACTAAGTGGAGTGATGACTTACACTTCAGGTGCAAAACAAAACAAAACAAAACAAATACAAAAAACTGACAAGCAAGTACAGACAACTACAGCCCACCTAAGTTGACATCACACATCCTCCCTATAAGCAGTGTCTTTAGTTGTGATAGGACAAGAGGTATAAGCGGTACTCAGATGCCCACATGAGTGTTAGACTTCTGTGGACCAGAATTCTACTCTCACATCTGTCCACAAAAAAAAAAAAAAAAAAAAAAAAGAAAG